TTTCTTTTTAGTTGGTTTGCTGTGGTTCTTATTATTATTATTATTATTATTATTAGTCGCAACATTCAGTGTTGGTCATGATGTTGTTTTTCTTATCCGAATCGAAATTTAAATTTTGCAAAACCTCGTTGTGTATAATTCGAAGAGTGAGTTATGTGTTAACATAATCTCTCTCTCTCTCTCTCTCACACACACACATTTTTATAGAATTCAATTAATTTTATTTAAATAAAAAAAATATTATTATTATTATTATTATCGTGTTTTATTATCGCGTTTCGGGTCGAGTGTAAAAATTATGTGAATTTTATTTAAATAATTTCAAGTCGTTGTTGTTGTTGTTTTTGTTGTTGTTTCCCATCCTTTTGTTTATGTTTTCTTTCTTTGATTGTGTACGTTCACGGAAATAATTTTTTTTTAATTTATTTAAATTAATTTATTATTATCATTATTATTATTATTATTATTATTAAGTATACGACGTCATTATTCAAGATTTTAGTTTTAATTCTTTTATTGTTAATTGTTTACTCTTTTTTTTTTTTTTTTTTTTTTTTTTTTTATGTAAACGTGTTTGAGATTTAAAAACGTATCGATCGATATTAATCTTTATTAACATTTTCAATTTATAAAAGATGGAGGCGTTTTGGTCGTTTTTTGTTTGCATAACCGAAAAAAAAAAAAATTGTTGTTACGGATATCATAATGAATTTGTCCCCCCCCCCCCCAAAAAAAAAAAAGAACTTTATTTAACACATTTAGATAAGCGATCGGGAATTTGTTAGGAAAAAAAAAAAAAAAAAAAATTCGAATAATTTGATTGCCAAAAAATTTGTCAAAATAAATTTTAAAATCATTTGAAGGTTTTGTGTGTGTGTGTGTGCGCGTGCGGTTGTAGATAATTTAATTTCGTGTAGCGGAAATGAAAAATGATTGCAATTTATTTGCAAAATGTTCATTTTTTAATTTTTTTTTTTTTTCTAATGCGTTCGACAAAACGGTGACAAAACGAGTTGAATAATAATTTAACGTGATTATGTGAAAAAAAAAAAAAAAAAAAATCCGGTTTTACACCACAAATTCATTCAATGAGTTTAAATTATCGATTAATCAACTTTTAGTTTAGTAAATCATAAAGAAAAAGCGAAAAAAAAAAAAAAGAAAAAAAAAATTTGCGTAGTTTGTGTAGTTAGAGAAATTTAGTCGATTGTGCAAAATAACGTTTCATTTCACTTATTTTTTGTTTGTTGTTGTTGTTGTTTCATTTATGCATTTTTATTTGTTTGTTTGCTTTTCTTTCTCTCTCTTTCTCTTAATCCTCCGCGCCTTTTTTAATAATAATAATAATAATAGGGAAAAAGTTTGGATTTTATTAGTTTCATTCATTCGCAGAATGGGAAGTTTCACATCGACGGCCAAAATAGAAAATTCGGATACGGCCGATGAAGATATATGCTCAACTTTTGAACCTACGGCTCAGGTTCAATTATTGGAAAGGTGTCGGAAAATCATCGAAACCTCTCAACGTCCGCCGCTTTTAAACCGGAAATTCAGAGAATTGAAAATTTTTTCGGGGAATGAATCAACTAGAAAATCATTTTTAAGATTGTTGCAGTGGAACATATTGTCGCAAAGTGAGTCAAATCATTATTATTATTATTATTATTATCATTATCATTATTATTATTCACATCATGGTGATTTTTTTTTTTGTAAATCATTGTCAATGTCATTCATTATTTTATTCGTAAATCAATTAATTAAATTAATTTTAAGAAAGCGTAATCGTTTAACCTTCGTTTACGAAAAATAAAAAAAAAAAATTATTTTGCGTCGTTACATTTACGAATTTTATTTATTTCCCCCCCCCACCCTCCTCCCCTTGTCCCCTGGTGATATTCGTAAAAGTGAAATTAATAATGATAATAATAACAATAACAATGATAACAAAACAAAACATTATATTTGTTATGACACGACGAAATCAATCAAAACATTATTGTTATGTTATGTTTTCAAGTTTAAATGATCGTGGGCGGACAAAAACGAAATTATGTTTATGTTTATGTTTATGTTTTGTTAAAGTGAAAGGAAATCATTGAAACTTTTCTCTCACATAAAGTATAACAAACAAATTTGCAAATGTCGTCTCTGCACACGCACACACGCACACACACACGAACGAACGAACTCTCTATTCAAAAAAAATTAAAATTAAAATTAATTAATTAATAGGTTCAATTTTTTTTTTTTAAATTAATAAATAAATCAATAGGTATGATTCAACGTGATACGACGCGTGAGGTCAACTTGTCTCTTAACTGTACCTTATCGTACCTATAAATTTTTAATTTTGTTTTAAGGTTTTAATTCTAAAATAATTTTTTTTTTTTTTTTTTTTTTTTTTTTGTTCCAGCATTGGGAGTGTCGAATGATAATTTTGTTAAAACTCCTCCCGAATCATTGGATTGGTCACTGAAAAGATTTTACGTTCTTCAGGAAATAATACAAAACGACCCTGATGTCATTTGCTTGGAGGTAATTAAATAATTAAAATGTCGGGATAGGGGAAGAGGAGGGGGGAGGAGGGGGGAGAGGGAGAAAAAAGGAAAAATTAATTTTTTTATTAAAAGATTTTGTTTGAATCGTCAAATAAATTTAATTAATGTTTTCAATATCGTTTTATTATTATTATTATTAATACTAATGATGATGATGATGATGATGATGATGAACAAAAAATTTCATATTTAAGGAAGTCGATCATTTTAAATTTTTGGAATCCGCCTTGAAATCCATCGGGTACTCTGGAAAATTTTTCCCAAAACCCGATTCACCTTGCGTTTACGTAGAAGGAAATAACGGTTCGGATGGTGCCGCCATGTTTTATAAAACATCAAAATACGAAGTCATCAAATGGGAAACGAGAATATTGGAAGTTTGGCACGTTCAAAGCAATCAGGTCTCTCTCTTCTTCTGCTTTTTTTTAACGGTGTAAAAAAGGGGTTGAAATTATTATTATTTTTTTTTGTCGTTGTTGTTTTTTTAGGTGGGTTTGTCGTCCATATTAAAAGATAAAGAAAGTGGAATCGAATTTTGCGTCGCCGTGACGCATTTGAAAGCGAAGGCGGGTGCTTTGTTAGCAACCCTGAGAGATCATCAGGGACGGGATCTTCTCACTTGGCTTGAAAAAATATCAGGTGGAAGGCCGATCATAATCGGAGGAGATTTCAATGCGGAACCTTCCGAACCTGTTTACAGAACGATGACGGATAACAGGTTGGATTTGAAAAGTGCTTATTCTGTGAACGGACGAGAACCTCCCTACACAACTTGGAAGGTGATTTGATTGTTTTTACCCCACCCCCACCTCCCCACCTTCTCCTTGAAATTAATTAATGTTCGTTTGTTTTTTTTTTTTTTTTTATTATATAGATTAGGGAAGAGGGTGAAATATGTCACACGATAGACTACGTTTTTCATTCGAAACATTTTATCCCGTTGAGATTATTAGATTTTCCAACCGGTAAAACCATCGGTCCCGAAAGGATACCGTCATTGAGTTATCCATCCGATCATTTTTCACTCGTCGTAGATTTCGAATTAAACAACGTGGTAGCAGAAGACGAAAAAGACAAGAGATCGATGTAAACGTGACCGGTAATCAATCATATATATATTAATTATTTTTATGATGATATTCCCACACACAGGTATTGTGAGGTAACAAACGCGCACAAAATATTTTAATTTATTATTTATTTTTTAAAAAAATCATGTTGTTGTTGTTGTTGTTGTTGTTGCTGTTGTTGTTGTTTTAGTAAAGTATTTTGAAAATATTAGTTTATAAATCATTTGTTAATAATAATAATAATCATCGTCATCATCATCATCATCATTAAATAATTGACAAATTTTTTTTTTGTATTTATAATTAATTTATCGTGATTTATTTAAATTTATTTTTTGTAATAAAAGAAATTTTTTTTTTTTTAAATATTTTACAAAATTTTTACTTTTCCCCCATTTTCTAATATTATTATTATTATGTTTTTTGTTGTTTAAAGTGCGACAAAATGTTATTTTTAAATATTTTAAGGTTTGGGAAATGATTTTTTTTATACAATTGTTTGATGGTTCCATTAATAAATAGATTATCCCCCGTCCCATCCCGTCCCGCCCCCCCAAAAAATTATTTGTTTAGTAATTACATTCCATTAAAATAAGGGAAAATTTTCGACATGATTATTTCGTGTGTGTGTGTCATCACAATGATAAAATAATGTAAAAAAAAAAAAAAAAAAATTTTCAAGTGAGTATAATAAACACATTTTCGATAAAGATAAGATTTAATTTTTCATACGACGGAACAAATTATTTTAGTTGTGAAAATTTCTTGTGTTTGTTAAACCATTTTCTTGTTTGTTTGTTTTGTTTTTCTTTTCGGAAAATTTAAATGGCATGCAATCCGTATCGTGTAAATTTGGGAATCGGGATAGCTGGTTTGGTAATCGTCGTTTTAAGTATTATTTTCGGTTGGATTATATTTCCAATTTTATTAAAAAATAAATTAGCTGATGTAAGTTATAATTATTGTATTGTCTCTCTCTCTCTCTCTCTCTATCTATCTATCTATCTATCTCTCTCTCTAAAATATTTTTTTTTACAAATAATAATAATTTTTTTATTAAGACACAACAAAATTGTTAAACTTGTTGATAGATTTGTTTTATATATTTGTTAATAGATAATAATTATATTTATTAATTATTTATTTATTTATTCCTTTCGTGATAATGATAACTTTATTAATTGTTTATTAATAATTTTTGGGTTTTTTCGGGTCCGTACAAATCCTAAATTTTATAAAGTTTATTTTGTAAAGAAGAAGAAGAAGATGAGAATTACATTGAATTAATAAACCGGAAGTTATTTTATTTTTCCTCATCATTGAAAATAAATAACTCATCTAATGGATTTTATATCAATTAATAATAATAAAAATTATTATTATTATTATCATTCTTAAATAAATTTGTTGTTGTTGGTTTAATAATTTTTTTACCTTGAGCCAAATAATACGCAGTTGTACTAAGATGATGATAATGATGATGACTAATTAATAAATATTATTATTTAAAATCTTCTTTTATTAAATTTTAACGTTTTTTTTTTCCTCCAATAGTTAATAATAATAATATTAATAATAATCGTTAAAAAAAAAAGAAAAAATTCCGTTCGATTTGTCAAATCAAAAATTTTTTATTTAGTTCAATAAATTTTTAACAATTGTTTTAAAGTGTTTGTTTGTTTGTTCGTTTGTTTGTTAGGAAAACAATCTTAATCAATATGGTATTGTCGTGTGTACGAAATCTTGATAAATAATTTTTTTGTTTAAAGTTAATAAAAATTTTTTTATAATTGGTTAAATTTTTTGATTTTGATTTTTTTTAAATTGTTTAAATAATTATTTTAGATATGATGATGATGATGATAATGATGATGATGATTGTTCATCGTAATTACAATTTACGATAAGATAAATATATATCATTATTTAATTTTATAAAAAAAAAAAAATTTTTTTCGTATCGACTTAAATTTTAAATAATTTTATTTGGCCTTTATTAATTGATCACATCCGTCCCTTACGGTTAAATTTAAATGTATGTATGTATGTAAATAAAAAAAAAATTATGTATTAATAAAATAATAATGATATATATAAAACTATTTTTTTTTTTGGTTTATGACTTCCGTAGTAGTTTTAATACAGGAATATAAATGTTAATTAAAAAAAAAAAGGAAAAGGAAAAACTAGTTTTTCGTGACCCATTTTTCTTATAAAATTTACGACTTTTTTCTAATAATAATAATAATAATTTTTATTAATAATGAATTTTGTAAAAAAAAAATTAAAAAATATGATTTATTAATTTGATACGGTTTAAATTTGTTCGCTTAAAATTTTTTTTTTTTTTTTGTTTTTCTAGTTATTGGCATTAAAAGAAAATTCAGAGTCTTGGGAACGTTGGGAAAATCCACCCGTGGATATTTATTTTAACGTTTACATATTCAACGTAAATAATCCCGAGGAAATTTTAAGGGGATCTTTACCAAAAGTGACGGAATACGGTCCTTACGTGTATAAAGAAAAAAGAAGTAAAAAAGTTTTGTCCGTTAATGAAGAAACGGGTGTTATTAAATACAAGGATGATATATCATTCGAATTCGATGAAGAAAGTTCTGGAAATTTAAAAGAAGATGATGTTTATACGGTTGTCAATCTTCAAGCTTTGGTAAGTAATTTTAATAATAATAATAATGATTTTTTTTCCGCGGATTTTCTTATTTATTAATTTGAAAAATTAATTTTTTTTTAGATACTCTCGCAAATCGTCGATAATTTAAAAGTTATTAATCCGGTTATTAAATTAGTTGATACTGCATTGAATAAAATATGGCCGACGGAAAATTCAAATCCGATGTTTATAAAAACATCCGTCAAAGAATTTTTATTTGGTAAATTACCATTATTGTGCAATCAAACATCATCCGTTAATAATGTCGATACGAAAGTTATTTGCGAAGCTATCAGGTTAATCAAATCTAAAACGATCGTTTTGGATGATTTGGGTAAAAACGTGCATTCGTTTTCCGTTTTCGGATACGTAAGACGTCATTTTTTAACTACTGATCGAATTGTTACCTCCTTTCGTGAAAATAATACATCATTTTCCGTTTTTAGAAAAACCGTACGAGCGACGAAGTGTACGAAATCGATTCGGGAATATATGATATAACTAAAATAGGTACGATATTATCGTGGAACAACATGACGACTTTAAATAATTGGAAAGGAAAAAGTTGTAATAGGATATCAGGTACGGATGCGACAATATTTAGACCTTATCTCGACATGGATGGTATCGATTCGATTAACGTATTCAATGGAGAAATATGCAGGTATAATAATAATAATAATAATAATTTTTAAAAAATTGATTTATTTTTTTTGAATGATGATGATGATTTATGTATTTCAGATCGATAAAACTCACGAGTGACGGTTACGTACACTTCAAAGGCGTTTGGGGAAAAAGGTACATAGCCGATAAAAATGTTTTTGCAAGCGTTTTAGAAAACGATAAAAACTATTGTTTTTGTCCGGGATCTATAAAAAAATTAACACACGTTAATGGATGTTTAAAATCTGGAATATTGGATTTGTCTTCCTGTCAGGGTAAGTTTGTTTTCACAAAATCTGTTCTTACTACGAGTTATAGTTTGAAAAAACATATATCACAAAGGGGCATCGGGGGGCGGGGGAGGGGGGGAGGGGGAAAAAAGATTTCCATCATCTTATCTTCGATATGAAAATTTTAATGAAATCCCATTTAATGAATGGGATTTTTTTAATTTTAATTTTTCGATTTAACAACCATCGGATTAATTTCATTGTTTTAATACCATATTTGACCGTTGATTATAAATAACGGTTTTTTACTCGGGACTCTATTAACGAGATTATTTTGCGGTAAGGGTTTGTTGTTTATCCCGGATGTAATACCCGTAAATCCTGAAAATGAAACTTTTGACGAAAATTTACTATTTGATAAATTCGATGATGGAAATCTATTATTGTTCGAATTCGACGATTGTTGTCTCGTATTAAAATTATTCGAATTAAAAGGTCTTAATGTCGTCGTCGTTTGAAATTTATTATTATTATTATTATTATTATTATTATATTTTTCTCTAATTGTAAATCTCGGATCGATTGTTGTGGTGGATTGAACGGTTTTACGATTGAATAATGTTGGATTGTTGGATGTTGTCGTTACGTATTTGTTGTTGTAAACGTTGCTGTTCGATTGAATTATTACGCCGGGCCTTCTAGATAACGAATTTTGATTGACAAAACCACCCAATGGCGATTGATTATTATTATTATTATTATTACCTAAATATTTCGTTTTGGTGGCGGTGGTGTACGTAAAAAACGGTTTAATCGTGGTGGTCGTTTGATAATTATTAAAATTATTACCGAATGTACTTACGACGTTTGCGTTTTGTGATGGCGGTTGTTTGTAAAATGTATTATAATCATTTTTGTGTAAATATTTTGAGATCGTGGTCGGTAAAAATGGATTCTCGATTGTTGTCGTTTTGTATGTTTGCGAATTAAAAAAATTCTTCAAGTTATCATTATCATTATTATTCGAATAATGATGATTTATCGAACTCGAAGGACTCGAAATTTTTCCGCTCTGAAAAGAATTGTAGTAAACGGAAAACGAATTCAAATCTCGGGTATTGTTTTGTCCCTCGAATCCCGGATACGGCGACGAAGAAGTTACCGTCGAGGAATATACGTTGTTATCGTTTGTATCGTTAAAACATCCTCTCAAATATTTTTTAGCTTTGTAACCTTTGCAAAGGGATTTGTAAACGACCCACGCGTTGAAACCATCACCAGAAATTCCAGTATGTTCTTTATGTATTTTTAACGAACATTTAAAATCGTTCGATATATCGTCATCTTCTAATTCATCGCAAGTTAAACCGCATCCCTTTCTATCTGGCGAACACCAATATTTATCACTTATCTGTTAAGAAAAACCTTTTTGTCATTAATTAATGTTTTCCGAAGATAGAAGTTTTTTTTTTTTTTTTTTTTTTTTTTTTGGAAAATTAATCAATTTTAACGGGTATGAAAAAAAAAAAAAAAAAATTCCATTTGTTTTAATACACACTTGTAAACCTTGAATTTTTTTTTTTTTTTGGAAAACAAATTTTTTTAAACAAATAAAATGAACACAAGATACTATTTTTTAAAGGTTATTGTTGTCGTTTTTTAATAAATGGCGTTTAATTTAAAAGTGTCAAAAAAAAAAAAAAAAAAAAAAAATTAATACCTGAAAAATTCCGTGATCGGCTGAACCCTTTTCACCCAAACGACCTACCGCATCCGTTTTATATTGTGATTCGTGTTCGGCAATGCAAACCCAGGTAGCCAATTGTTCGGATGGTGCTTCGTGAACGTATTTTAATTCTCTTGCAAGTTCGCATCTGTCGTAAACTTTACCCGAAACGAACGAAAACGTTAAAATGAATAATGTTATACCGTACAACGGAAACATTGTTTGAACATTCGACATTTTACATTGGCAACACAAACCTAAAACAAAATACGATTATTATTATTATTATTATTATTACTAAGAGTTTTCCGTTGGATCGTGTTCGAATACAATTCAAACTTTAAATGAAATTTAAAATTTTTTGTTAAAAATGGTTCCTAACGAATCAGACCACACGATCGATACCGACACGAAATTTATAAACGGGGAGGTGTAGGGGGTAGGGGGGGGGGTGAAACGTGATTGGATAACATTTGTAATAAATTAATTGACCGTGTAAATAAATAATAAAAAATATTTGTTTTCGTGTTAATTATTTGAGTATTTATAATTAAAAATCGATAATTAAATCAAAATCGAAAAAAAAAAAAAAAAAAAAGTAAACGATCGAATTGTTTGAAATCGATGGGGGGCCAACAAACCTTTCCACATAAAAAAGAAATTATTTACGAAGGGGTCCCCCGTTTATTCAAAAAAAAAAAAAAAAAAAAAAAAAAAAGGTTAAACGAGAGGAACGTTTGAAAAATGGCGGCGTTTATATAATTCATTTCTTAAAAATCTCTCAAATAATGGGGTGATTTTTATTACGGTCATAACAACCCGAATCCGAAACCACCCCCCCCCCCCGTTGTTTTTTTCTTTTTCTTCTATTTCTTCGAATAATAAAATTACCATTTTATTATTATTATTATTATTATTATTATTTTAAAATAACAAAAAAAAAGCACATGTGTCTCGTATAAAAATACTTTAAGGTCACGGCATTTTTATTTTATTTAAATATACATACATATATATGTATTTTAGAGTAAATAAATAAATAAATAATTTTTATTTTATTGACTTTATATTAAAAAAAAATTAAATAATTATTTTTTAATAATTTCGACGAGGATAACCGGTCCTAATAAAATATATATTTCGTTTTCATAAAGAGAGAGAGAGAGAGAATGGAGTTTTTGTGTGTGTAAGAAAGAGACTTAAATGGTAAATAAATATCGTTACACGTCGTTAATTTTTTTCCTTTTTTTTTTATTAATACCTGAATCGTTTTGGAGCCTTAAAGTCTCATCTTTCACACTCTTATGATTTTCCACGGGGGGAGAGCAGAGGGGGGGGGGCGGGAAAGTTCAGTAATCATAGTATTAAATGTAAAAATATGAATCGTTGTCGAATGCGTCGTCGGTTTTTTTTTTTTAATAATTAAATAAATAAATACCACATTTATTTTAATTACTCGCGATTAATTAATTAATTTATTAAATTTAACATTCTTTACGGTTTTTTTTTTATTTATCATTTAATAAATAAATAAAAAAATAAATAAAAATTGCGAATTTTTTTTTCATTCCCGTTTGAGTAAAATACAAAATTATTGAGAAAAGTTTACGTGATTTTTTTTTTTTTTTGTACTTTTAACATTTAAATAAAAATCGAAACGATTTACCCCCCCCCCTCAGCCCCCCCAAAAAAAAGAATAAAAAAATATGGAAGTTAAACGGTGAATCTCTCTCTCTCTCTCTCTCTCTCTCTTACGGGAAAAAGAAGTTATTTAAAAAAATTATTACCTTTTTTTTTACATTTCCGTACATTTTTTTAATTATTATTATTTTTTTTTATGTATCGCGTAAACCCGTATAAAGTTAATAAAATAATAATAATAATAATAATAATAAAATAACGGAAATTTATTTATTTAAGTCAAATCGCGAAATAAAAAAAAAAAAACGTTAAAAAAAAAAACGCGGATTTGTTACAAATTAAATTAATGAAAAGTAATTAACTTACCAGTCAGATTATTAACAAAAAAAAAAAAAATTTTAAAATCATACAATAGGTTCGATTTGAAAACCTTAAATACCAAAACTAAAACCTGAAAGACATGTTTCAATAATAATAATATTTTTTTTTTTTTTTCACGAACAACTTTTTTTTTTTTTTTTTAAATCTTTTCTTTAATGTTTATATCCTTATTATTATTATTATTATCATTATCATTATCATCACACGGCGTTTTTCGTCGTAATAATCGTTATCAAAACGTTCTAAAATTTTCCGATACTAATTTTCCTTTTTTTTTTTTTTAAAACGAAAATTAAAACCGTATAAACTGTATTCACATCTTTTCATCATCTTCCATTATCTTCATCTTTAACTTTTTATTTTGCATCTTTAATAAAAGATAATAATAATAATAATAATAACTGGTTGTTTTCAACAATTCGACCTTGTCATCGCGTACAATAATAATAATAATAATAATAATAATAATAATAATAATAATAATAATAATAATAATAATAATAATAATAATAATAATAATAATAATAATAATGCAATTAAAAGAAGAAAAAGAAGAAAAAAATTTAAAACGTGAACCCCGATATTGCTTTTGGAAAAAAAAAAATATATTTTAAATGACCTTTTACCTTTTATTATTTTTTATGAATTTACAACCTGGAAAGCAAGGGCATTTTACTCTTTTTTATAATAATAATAATAATAATAATAATAATAATTTAAAAAAAAAAATTTTCCACTTAAATATACAAAAAAAAAAAAAACAAAAAAAATTTTGATTTTTTTTTCCTCGTTTGTGAAAAAAAGATTAGTTTGATAAGAAGTGATAAGTATTTAATTTAAAAAAAAAAAATTTTTTTGTTGTTGTTATTGTTATTGTTGTTGTTGTTGTTGTTGTTGTTGTTATTGTTGTTGTTGTTGTTGTTGTTGTTGTTGTTGTTGTTGTTGTTGTTATTGTTGTTGTTGTTGTTGTTGTTGTTGTTGTTGTTGTTGTTGTTGTTGTTGTTGTTGTTGTTGTTGTTGTTGTTGTTGTTGTTGTTGTTGTTGTTGTTGTTGTTGTTGTTGTTCTTGTTGTTCTTGTTGTTCTTGTTGTTGTTATTCCAGAACATCAAAAAAAATATTTCTATACAAATTAATTTTTACGTTATCAGTAACGCGATTCAAATATAACAACCAATGGATAAAAATTTTAAATTTTAAAATCTCAATTTCCCCCTCCCCTTTTTTCTTTAAAAAGGGAGTTGGGGGGGGGGAAATTGGCATAAGAAAAGTTTACTTAAGAGTGGGTAACAACAGGAGGGTTAATTTTCACACGATTAAAAAAAAAATGTTATCAATTAAAAAATCCGTTTCCGGATGGATATGATAAAAACGTAAACAAAACAAATACTCGAGTATGCATTATTATTATTATTATTATTATTATTATTAGGTTACACAAATACAAACAAACATCGTATAAAATATCATATGAATGTTATCAAAATGTAATAATAATAATAATAATAATTTTTTTTTTGTGGGGGGGGGGGTTTCAGATGCTCCAGCTTTCATATCTCATCCTCATTTTTTAATGGCGGATCCATCATATCAAGTCATAGAAGGTTTAAAACCGGAAAAAGAAAAACACGAACTTTATTTACATTTAGAACCCGTGAGTTAATTTTAATATTTTTTTTTTTGCCTCCCCACCGTGAGTATTTAATAATAATAATAATGATTTTTTTTTTGTTTTCAAGTATACCGGATATCCGCTTTCAGCAGCGAGCAGAATACAAATAAATACATATTTAAAAAGTATCGATGAAGTTAAAATAATGAAAAAATTTCCAAATGTTTTATTACCCGTCGTATGGGCCGAAGAGGTTTGATATTTTCAATCAATCAATCAATCAATCATTCATTCATTTATTGTTCATTCTGATTAATTTTATTTTATTTTTTTTTTAACAGAAAGTCGAATTGACGGATGATTTAATAAATAAAATAAATAGCGAATTATTGGATAATATGTTAATTGTTGATGTCGTTCGATGGCTCATTGTCGGACTTGGAATTGTTATGGTTTTGACTTCCGTTTCCTATTATTTAGCCAAATTTAGAGGAGGTCAAGATTTGAATTGATTATATGTAACATGGCACAGGGAATTTGTTTATTTTATTAAAAACATCTTCTTATAAATAAATAATTTATATTTTTAATAAAAAAAAAAAAAAATTTTTCATTTTTTTTTATTTATGTGTTATGATGTTGACACTGTCTTGATAATGGCGCCAATATCTCTACTTTGTGCTTGTACCTATTCCTGTTGGCTCGTAGTTGTTGAGAATAAACTAAACGACTTACTGTTGTATCTAATTTATTGTAATTATTGATATAACTTGTTATAAGTGGAAATCAATGCTGTTAGATCCATCTATAGATGTACCTAATGGCTCTGCCTGACTAATCCTAGACCATACCTGACTCTGATAGACCAACTAACACAATCTGTAGTTTTGAGAACCACAATTTATATGTATACCAATACAATCAATCATATGTTAACACTTGTGTTACTGTTTAAAATGGCATATAACGATTTAATAGCTAAGATATGAATTGTTTCTTTTTTTCCCCCCCATTTTAATGGTTAGATCGTGTCATCAGAACAAAAACAAAACTAAAAAACTATTATATAATAATAAATAAATGTTTACATTATGTGTAAACCTCTCACAAGTGGACATAATTAATTGGGGAACGTAAAACATTAAAGTGAGATTTGTAAAATCAAAAAAAAAAAAAAAGTTTGTGTCCAATTTCAGTTGATAAGATTTCTTGGAATTGAGATTGTTAAAAAGGTTTGAATGACTTCTTTTGTTTTCGATTTGAATTTTTTTTTTTTTTTTACTTATATTTAAAATAAATTTCATTAGTCACACATTGAAATGTGACTTTTATATGAGTAAAATTGTTAATGTAAAAAATTGTTGCGATTCGATTTGTTATTATTGTGTTAATTTGGAATTTGAGTTAAGACGACAAAAGAGTTTTTGTTTTTTTTCCAGAAAGATCTCTCAATGTCTTAGAAATTATAAAATGACATTTCAAAGCTTTGTCGAAATTACATAAGGAAAATAATGTAAATTAAATAAAAACAAGTTTTAAAATTAATTGATAAAACAACAAGTGTTATTATTTGAAATTTTGTTTTACTCGTACATGTGTATACATGAGCAATTAAGAAACTTACGTCTTAAAATAAAGACGTGGCAGTAGAAATAAATAAAAAAAAAGAAAACGTCGAAATTGCCGTTAAAAGTTGCGGTTGTAACAACACATTACAAGTATGCATGTGTTTGTCAGTTTAAATTTTAAGGTTTGACAAATTGGGTAAGTTAACTTATGAAAATATTATTTTCATAATTTTTTTTTTCCCTTTTTGCGTTTAGATTTTTTTTTAATTTTATGTAATTTTATTAATTAAAATTGTTTTTTTTTTTTTTTTTTTAATGATATTTTTATACTTGTTCGCTATAGAAAGAAACTTGATAAGTTTTGAAAAAACCGTGTAATAAATATTAAGTACTTGTTTGAAATTCATTTTTATTTTTTAAAAAAAATGTATTTTTTAATTTTCAAACGTACATTTAATATTTAGGTTTTTTTTAAATTTAAATATTATTTTTAAAGATTGTTTCCAACTCTGTTTTTTTTTTTATTTTGTGGAGAAAAGGTTTTAATGGAGTCCACGTGGTTGAAAGGAATAATTTGCCCGTGGCATTCGCGAAAAAAAAATTTAAAATTTAATTATTTCAATTTAAATTTTATTCTTAATTAATTACTTTACATTAAAGTATTAAATTAAAGTGATAAATTCATTTATATTCAAGCCGTTATGTACTGTGTTAAATAACAATTGTCATTCTTTTTAAGATATTTGAAAATAACAATAATTAAAATAAATGTATATTTATTAAATTACATTGAATTATTGAGAAAAAGAAAAAACATTTAATAATTTTTAAATAAATTATTTAATTGTTATATTTCTCAATTTTATGTGTATATAATCGATCATGTAAGGAAGCCATTTAAATATTCTCATGTATGATTTTCTTAACTAAAATAACTTCCATCATAAAATTGCATCATTGAAAATATTTTTATTTTAAATTTATTTTAAGGTTAAATATGTCACATGTTGGTGGTGGAGATGGACCAGAAGAACATGGTTTGGGTAGGGGAAGAGGTAAAAGAAGGAAGAAAACCGAAGCGAAACAAATCACAATAGCTCCTGAAACTAATCCTTGTACTGTACTCGAAGGAAAACCTGGATCATCGGAACCTTCTTGTAGTTCTGAAAAAGTTTCTTACAAGGTTAATAAAATAATAATATTTTATAAAATAGTTTTTGTAATTCTTTTGAAACTCGCTCTCTCTCTCTCTCTCTCTCTTTAAAAAAAATAATTTAAAGTTATTTTTTTAATTTTGAAACAAACTATAATGTTTATTTGAATCTAAAGCCTTTTTATTATTATTTTGTTTAATTTGCACTTATTTATTTACAAAATTATGCTTTGTTTTTTTAGACTGCAGTTTCTGAAGGAGTGCCTACTAAATCTGACTCGTCTTTAGCCACCAAAATCGAAACCCTAAATTTAAGTAATTATCTAAAATGTCATTGTTTTTTTTTATTATATTATTTATTGATTGTATAATTTGTTTTTCTTATATATTAACAAGAAATTTGTTTTATCAAATAGAAACTCAAGATCCTGGTAGATCAAAATATGGACAAAAACGACGTTCTATTCCTGATATTCAATCAGGAAGCAATTATGTAACTTATACGAAACCTTCTAAATTATTATCAAAAAAGGGAGATTTTGGTTAATATTTAAATAAAAATTATTATCATATGTTTATTTGTAAATAATATACTTTAACAGAATTTTTTTTTTGACTGCAGGTACTCCAATAGAATTGGTTACAAACTATTTCAAACTTGAAACAGTACCCAATTGGGTATTATACCTGTACAGAGTAGATTTTAGCGTAAATGAAGAACGGGAAAAAATATTGAGAAGTTGGTTAAATCAACATCGTGATCGTTTAAAAACTGCTTTTATATTTGATGGATCTATGCTTTTTACTACACAAAGATTAACGGCCACCGATGAACCTCTCATATTAACCAGCATTCGGGATGATGGTGGTGATCCCGTCAAAATCACTTTAAGATTAGTAGAACCGTTACAATATGGAAATCCCGTGTATCTCCAAGTTTTTAACATTTTGGTTCGACGTTGCTTAATGCATCTTGATCTTTATTTAGTTAACAGGAATTATTATGATCCTAGAGCATCGGTGAGATAAATTATTTATTTATTGAAAATAAAAAAACAAACTATTAAAATGCATTAAAAAATTTTTTTTTTTTTTTTTGATAAAAACACGACAGATACATATGCCGCAACATAATATTGAAATCTGGCCTGGATACGTGACATCCATTCGGCAATATGAAAAAGATATTTTAATGTGTGCTGAAATCACTCATAAAGTTATGAGAACGGATACAGCACTAAAATTATTATCTGATTGCTGTAGAGAAAGTGGAAATTATAAAGTAATTGTTGTTGCAATAAATAAATATTTTACGAAAACTATTAGGATATTTAAAATATTTCATAAAATATATTTACTCGATTTTTTTTTTTTTTTTTTTTTTTTTCAGAAAATTTTTCATCAGGCAATGATAGGAGCGATAGTATTAACGGATTATAACAATAAGACGTACAGGATTGATGACGTTGATTTTAGTTTAAATCCTACATGCACGTTCAAATATAAAAATAATGAAAATATAAGTTATGTAGATTATTATCGACAACGATACCAGTTAAAAATTAAAGATGTAAGGAGGTCTCTTGGGCGCTATTATTTAATTCAACTGTTTTTCTTTTTTTTTTTTTTTTTTTTTTGCAACTTTGCAATTTTTTTTTTTTTTTGTTATGACGTAGTTAAGGCAACCTCTATTAATTTCAAGAAGCAATAGGAAAAGTTTAACGTCAAGTGAAGAGGAAAAACAATGCATTTTAGTTCCAGAACTTTGCAGAATGACAGGATTGGATAATAGAATGTTAGAAAATAGAAATTTAATGAAAGATTTGTCTGATATTACCAGGATTCCTCCTCACACTCGAATGGAAAGATTAAAAAATTTCAATAGAAGACTTCAAAATGAAAAACAAGTTGCCGAAGATTTAGGAAGGTGGCAAATGAAATTAAGTCTTCAGTTAATGACCGTAATCGGTCGAGAATTACCACCTGAAGAAATTATTACCGGAGGAGGAAAATGCACAGCAGGTGTATATGTATATTAATAATGATGATTTGTGATTTAAACATAAACACTTTTTATTAGTCATCAAATATGAAGTATTAATAATAATAATAATAATAAATTTTTTCTTTTTTAAAAAGGACTGGAAGTTGATTGGACGAGAAGTATAAGGTCGGTTCCGATGCTTAAAAATGGAAAATTCGATACGTTTGTTGTGATTTGTCCTTATAGACTTAGAAGAGACACCGAAAGCTTTTTAAGCATACTAAAAAAAACATCGAGTGGAATGAATTTTCACATTCCTCTACCTAATATATTCGAAACGAGATCAGATAGTCCTGCTGAAATGGTTGAAAAGGTCGATTACGTATTGGCTATGTGCAGACCAGGTGTGTGTGCGTGTGTGTTTGCATGAGTGACTGTTGCGTAGTAGAAATTTATTCTTATTATTTTTTTTTTTCCTTTCAGATCTCATTTTATTTTCTTTCATGTCCAATCGTGCCGATCGGTATTCGGCCGTTAAAAAAAAATGTTACGTCGATCGAGGGATTCCAAGTCAAGTTATACTAGCTAGAAATTTAACGTCAAAAGGTGTCATGTCTATCGCGACAAAAGTTGCCATTCAAATAAATTCTAAAATCGGTGGAGCTCCCTGGACCGTAAATATTCCATTCGATGTAGGTTTTTATTATATTTTACCTGATTATTACATTTTCGTTTCGTTCGTTTTTCCTTAAAAAAAAAAAATTTTTTTTGTTGTAGAATTTCATGGTGGTCGGTTATGATGTTTGTCACGACACGGTGAGAAAATCAAAAAGTGTCGGAGCTTTGGTGGCTTCTTTGAACAAAGCCATGAACGCTTGGTTTTCATGCGTGAATTTTCACGAAAACGGTGAAGAATTATCGGATACGATTGCATTGGATATTTGCAAAGCATTGAGAAAATATAAAGAAATAAATAAAAGTTTACCGGCAAGAATTTTCGTGTACAGAGATGGCGTCGGTGAAGGGCAAATTAATTACGTTTACAAACACGAAGTTGAAATGTTAAAAGTGAATATTGTGAATTTTTTTTCCTTTTTTAAATCTTTCATAAATAAAAATGTTTGTTTGTATTCTTCCTTGCAGAAAGTTCTCACGGATATTTACAATGGTCCAAATTGGAAATTAAGTTTTATTATTGTCACAAAACGTATAAAGACGAGATTTTTTAACAAGGAAAGAAATCCTCGTCCGGGTACTGTTGTCGATGATGTCGTCACACTACCGGAAAGGTACGATTTTTATTTGGTATCACAATCCGTGAGACAAGGTACGGTTTCGCCGACAAGTTACAATATTATAAGCGATAACGTCGGATGGACTCCGAATCATTTTCAAAGATTCACCTACAAATTGACTCATTTGTATTATAATTGTTCTGTAAGTTTTTTTTTTTCATTTTTTTCGCATTCAATTTATTTGTTTTGTAAATGACACGCACACGCACGCACACACACTTTTTGATTTCAGACTTCGGTTGGAGTTCCGGCTCCTTGTCAATATGCTCACAAGTTGGCATTTTTGGTTAGTCAATCTTTGCATGCCGAACCTCATGCTAATTTGGACACGAGGCTCTATTTTTTATAATTTTTTTATTTTTTATTGTAATTTTTTTTTTTTTTTTTAGTTTTTGAATAGCTAAGTTAATTGTAGTATAAATCTCTACTTATTATTATTATTATTGAACGTTGTACATTTCGAAGATTGAAATGTTAAACATTTGAATCGTTTTTAAGTTTATTATTATTATTATTATTATTATTATTATTATTATTAGATTGTGAATAAAATTTTATTGAGTTTAGAAAGAAAAGAAAAAAAAAGGTAAAAGTATTTTTATAATTCTCAGGTATAAATTAAATTTTTTTTTTTTTTTTTAATTGGTTGTTATCATATATAATTGGTTGGAAAGGAAGTTTTTCCTCCTAGATAAATTTTAAGTAATTTTACTTAAATTATTGATTATAGTACAATAGTAGTAGTAGGATTGTTAATTGTATTGTTATCAACAACAAATAATATAATTTTAAATTTAATAAATGTGGAAGCGACATTGTTTTGTTTTTAAAAGAGTTTTTTAAAAATATGATTTAGTATTTTAATATCGGCCTTAAAAATTTCATTTTCTTTAATTGTTTTAAAATAAACGGTTTAAGATTGTGAATTAAGGCATTCGGTTATTATTATTATTATTTTTTTTATTGTTATTTGTATAAGTTGAATTTATTGTTGTAAAAAATTATATTTTGTATTTAAAAAAAAAGAAAAAAATTTTTTTTTTACTTTCACTGTGTTTATCATTTAACGTTTTTAAATAATAATGAAAGCTTCAAGCGTTTAAATTATTTTATTTGTAGTTTTAAAGGAATTTAGTGTACGTTTTCAATTGTTTTAGTCATTTAGGTTGTTGTATCGTTTTTATATATCGTTTTAAAAATTATATTTTACGAATTGCTCGTAAAAAGTTTTGATTTACGCCATAGAATAATATATATTTGAAATTGAAATCATTTAACATAATGACGATAGTTTTCTAAAACCACGACGTAAACTTCCGGTTTATCATATATTTTCATGTAACATTGTAAGTGATGTATCATTAATTTTAATAAATACGTTTTTAATGTTGGAAATGGGAAAATCTAGTAAACGGAATAAGTTTTTAGGAAAGAATTTATTGTATAAAAGTGATATATCAAAAATTATGTCAGTTCAGGCAAATAAAAATATGAAAATATCCGGTTATTTTAGTGATCCTCTCCTAGTTCCTAGAATTAATCAGGTGAAATAAAATTTTTTTTTTTTTCTTTTTATTGATTTATTTCTTAATAATGAAAAATAAAAAAAAAAAAATGCTCGAAAGAATAAATTTTCAAATTATTATTATATCATTTATTAAATTAAAATTAAATATTAATCGAATGAAAAAGTTTTTTTTTATTTATTTTTTTGGGAAGTATGCAATTTACTTTGGATGTTATAACGTGCTATTTATTTTTGAGATAATTTTCTAATTCGTTTGAAGTAGTCAAGGGTTAATTGTAAAATTTAACAAATGAGGGTTTGTTTAATTTCAGTACTTGTCAGACAACAAAAACAAGTTATATGTTGATATTAATGATATGGTTAATGAACTTCAGTCTCAATATGCAGATTATTCCAGAAAAAAGAAAAGTGCATTTAAACCTCTTGTCGAAAAAGGTAAATTAAAAAATTTAAAAGTTTTATAATTTTTCTTATTGAATAATTAAATATATATAATAATAATAATAATTTTAAATGGATTTTTTTATATCAACAGCATTTTCCTTTGTTCTTCAACAATGTGGAATGAATCCTGATGATTGTCCTAAAGTTGAAACTTTTTCAAATTCTTCAGGAAATTCTTCGAGCGATGTGGAAGAATGTAACACAGAAGTAAGGAGAATTTTAATTATTAAATTTTTAATAAAGTACTCTCTACATATTTTTATTCGTTTATAATTACTAGTTTTATAACATTAATTATTATTGTTAAAAATTTTTATTTATTTTTATTTTTGTTTCTTTAGAGTAAACCATCTTCGAATAACCAAATGATTAATTTATATAACACTCCGAAAAGTCAAACTTGTGCACATGAAAAAGCAGAATTAATTGATCTCAGTAGTGATGATGAAAATGTTAAAAAGAAAGATGTTACTATGGAAAAAAGTAATACAAATTTGAGTAAAATAAATAATTGTTCAAATTATTTAATTAAAAATAAATCTATATCTTGTACCAGAATTGGTGAGTTAATCAACCATTGATTTAATTTATTTCAAATTCGAGTGTTTTTTAAATAATTAAATTTTTTTTCTACTTTAAAGGTCCTGAAAAGAACGATGTGTTAGATCATGTTGATCATCCTGTTAGACATTTACCCATGATGAAACGATTAAGGCCACACTCTCCAGTAAAACCACATATAAAAATAATAAAAAAAAAAAAAATAAGAATGTGTTCACCTAAACAAGTAACATTTGCCGATTTTGGTGGAAATACAAAAGTTTTAGAAGAAGTTTGTAAACTTATTTTACACATTCCTCATCCTGAAATATTTAGAGAAATTGGAATTTCTCCACCTAGAGGATTTTTACTTCATGGTCCACCTGGTTGTGGAAAAACATTATTGGCAACTGCTATTGCTGGAGAACTTGATGTCGAATTAATTCAAGTAAGTGTTATATGGCAGTTTTACTAGAATGAAAGGATTAAAAATTAAAACTTGAAGATTTTGAATTTCAATAATAAAATTGTTTCAGATTTCTGCTCCAGAGTTGATCGGTGGAGTGTCTGGAGAATCCGAAGAACGAATTAGAGAATTGTTTGATAGAGCTGTCGAATCAGCACCATGTGTCCTTTTTATTGATGAAGTAGATGCCATTATGCAAAATCGACAAAATGCTCAAAGAGAAATGGAAAGACGTATAGTAGCCCAATTATTAACATGCTTGGATGGTTGGCATTGTTTTTTTTTTATTTAGTTTGTCATTTTTGTTAAGTTTCTCTTTTGTCAAAATAATGAGTTTGAAAATAATTTTTAGAATTGAACACTAAAGAAAATGGAGATCTTGTTCTTGTTATCGGTGCTACAAACAGGCCGGATTCATTGGATCCCGCGTTAAGACGTGCGGGAAGGTTCGATAGGGAAGTTTGTATTGGAATCCCCGATTTAAAAGCCAGAGAAAAAATATTGAAAGTTTTATGTAGTACATTAAATTTAGCGCCAAATTTTTCGTTTGAAGAATTGGCACAACACACTCCAGGATATGTTGGTGCGGATTTATTAGCGTTGACGAGGGAAGCCGCCATGGTAGCAGTCAACAGGTAACCATATATAGATATAGTATTTTTTCACAATAAAAATTTGCAATCGACGCAAAGTAAATAAGTAAAGTTTTAAAAAAAATAAATAAATTTTAGGTTGTTTGGAAGTTTGGAAGAATTGAAAAATAAAGAAAAAAAACAAAAAAATATAGAAAAAAAACAAGAGCCGTGGAAAGAAGAAGTAAAAAATGACACAGATGAATTAATGGATATCGATGTTCTCGAAGGAGGAGGAGGAGGGATCGATTGTAAAAAAACGTCTAACGATGAAAAAAATGAATGCCAAAAAAAAAATAATTCACAAAATTTAAATAATAATGACAAATCGGATTTAAATGTGAAAAGTCAAAATGGTGGCGATGATATTCGCGAGGGAACAATGGCGAACGGAGAAAACGATGTTAAAAATAATAAAAATGATAATGATGATGATGATGCGTCAATGGAAATAAGTGTCAACGATGTGAGTGATGGTGAAAAAAATATTAATAAAGTTGAAAAAGAAGAAAATGTAAATAAAAATACGACGGAAGAAACAGATGATGTAAGAAGGATGGGATTGGGATAAATTTTTCAATCTTATTATTTATTGAATTTTTTTTACTCTTAAATTTTGTACAATTTCAGATCGATGTCGAAGTCATAACCGACGTGACAACAAAACCCAACAATTCACCCAATCTTGAAACTTTAATGTATTGGATTCAAGAATTCTCACCTTTGTCTCTTGGACAATTGAAAAATATTTGTTTAACTCAAGAAGATTTCAAAAAAGCATTAAAATCCGTTCAACCGTCTGCTAAACGTGAAGGTTTTGCAACCGTTCCAGACGTGACTTGGGATGACGTCGGATCCTTGGCAGACATTCGTGAAGAATTAAAAATGTCAATTTTGGTTAGTTTGAAAACATAAATAAATAATTTTTTTTTCCTTTCGTCGATTATTTTTTTTTGTTATTTCTTTATGATGTTTATGAACGGATAGCTGACGTTGGCTTGAGGAGTTCTTCTTTTTTTTGTATGTTGAATGTACCTCGCTGACTCACCGTGAAAAAATTACACTTCTGATGAGAATGTACAACTTACCTACTCGACCTATTCAAAAAGTTTTTTTTTTTTTTTTTTAAATTATGTTTTAATTTTTTTCTTTTTTTTTTGTACCAGGGACCGGTTAAATATAGAAAACAATTTGAACAATTGGGACTTACGGCACCGGCTGGAATTCTTATTTGCGGTCCTCCAGGTTGTGGTAAAACTCTTCTCGCCAAAGCGGTTGCTAACGAAGCGGGTATTAATTTCATATCAGTCAAAGGTCCGGAATTATTAAACATGGTAATAAAAATTATTATTATTATTATTATTATTATTATTATTTATCATTTTAATTATTATTTACAAGGTTAAAGATTTTTTATTTTTTATTGGTACTTTTTTTTAGTACGTGGGAGAAAGTGAACGAGCGGTACGAAGATGTTTTCAAAGAGCGAGAAGTTCCGCACCCTGCGTTATATTTTTCGATGAATTGGATTCACTTTGTCCGAGAAGATCAGACACGCCGGAAGTAAGTCTTTTTTTTGCTTCTTTTTTTTTTGGGGGGGGGGAGAGGGAGGGGGGTTCGAAAAAGAAAAGATTTAAAAATTGTTTTTTTTACTTATTAAGAGTGGAGCAACCATGCGGGTCGTCAATCAACTTCTGACGGAAATGGATGGAATCGAAGATCGTAAAGAAGTTTACATCATGGCCGCGACAAATAGACCGGACATTATCGATCCGGCAGTTTTAAGACCTGGAAGACTGGATAAAATACTTTACGTTGGATTACCACAAGAAGAAGACAGAGTGGATATTCTTCGAGCCGTCACCAAAGTGAGTAACAAACGAAAACGAGAATTATGGCAAATTCTTTTTGTCTCGAAGATGGCGAGGAAAAAAAATTATTTTATTATTATTATTATTATTTCAAGAACGGAACTCGACCCAAATTGGATAAAGACGTCAATTTGAGGGACATTGCGTACAAACCTGAATGCAAAGGATATTCCGGAGCTGATTTAGCTGCTTTGGTTCGAGAAGCCGGAATTCAATCCGTTAAAGATTTCATGTCGAAAACGAATGCGGATTCGAAAGCAAGTGTTACCGTGTCATTAGATCATTTCGAACGAGCTTTAAAAAAAATTCGACCTTCCGTTTCACCAGAGGTAAGTTTCCCCCTTTCCCCTTTCCCCTCTTCCCCCGTTTTTTAAAAACTTATTATTATTGATTATTGTTTTTTTTTTTTTTTTTTTTTTTTAATTGTTTGTTTCAGGACCAAAAATATTACGAAAGTTTAAAAAAAAAATATTCAATACAAAAATCGTAGTCGGTCATTCGCGCATATTGTAAAAAACGAAGGGGAAAAAAAAAGGGAAAACCATGTGGAAAATTCGTTGTGTCAAAAAAAAAAAAAAGAAGAAAAATCATTTAATAATTACACATATAATTTTTTTTTTTTTTTCTAATTTTAAATAATATCATTGTTTTATACTTACAACGATGATGATGATGATGATTTTTAGTTTTTTTTTTAAGGTTTAAAAAAAAAGAAGAAAAACAATAAAATGATTGAAAAATAATTTTTATTAATATGGAGCGTACCTGAGCCGTTTTAAATTTTTGTAATAATTTACAATAAAATACACAAAAAATTATTTGAAAAGTCAGTTAAGAATATTATTTAAGTCAATTTCTGTCAAAGTTCAAAAAACAAAAAATTCGTTCATTTAAAAATGTTTGTTTGTTTGTTGCTTTTGTAACGAGTCGAAAAAAAAAATTATCCTTTTTTTTTTTTTGTATTATTATTATTATAAAGATTTTTAATTTATGTAATTAAATTTTTTTTTAATTTGAAAAGGAAAGAAAGAAAGAAAGGCAGACGAAATTACACGTAATAAATAACATGATAAAAATGTAGTTAAAATTTAATTTAAAAAAAAAAACGAAAAAATTTACCGTTCGAAAGAAATTTACACGAGAAGTAAGATTAAAGTAATTTAATAGTATTCCCATAGTGGGAGTAATTTTTTCTGTTTTTTTTTTTTTTTTTTTTATTCTCCAGGCAAAACAAATATACACACACACACACACACGGTCTACTTACTTTCTTTTTTTTTTATCTTATTTAAGAAGTCTAATAGAATTTTTTAATATTTTACAAGTTTTTCTTTACCCCTCTTCCTTCTCTTCCACCCTCTCTCTCTTTCCATATGAAAACTCTTCGAGTTGGAAAACTCATGAGACCGAAAAAATAAATAAATAACATTTTTTTTTCCTTAACTTTTTTTTTCCCCGTTCGTCCGAATGAATTTTTTATTAGTTTTTAATTTAAATTTATAATAATAATAATAATTTTAGTTACAGGGTGGCAAATTAAAGGTTGAAACGGAAGCGTTTATTACAGCAGCTCAAGATCAAAAAAATTTCGAATGATTATGATAATAATAAATTAAATAAGAAATTTGGAAATTGAAATTGGTAGGATGTGGGGAACAAAAACAGAAACGATTCCGGTCATCGTGGGAGCATTGGGAGCCATGACACCACATTCAATGAAAGGAAATTTAAAGAAGATTTTGAAGAACCTAAAAGAAGAAGAAATCATCCAGGAAATCGCACTATGTGGGACGGCTAACATTCTTGGGAAATTTTAGCACCAACGCAATTCGAGCATTTTTCCCTAAGGAATCGTCGGGTAGAAACCTGGGATAAATACTTAAAAATCCCGACAAATAAGAGTGACCATAATAATAATAATAATAATAATTAAAATTGAATAAGTTGACATGCGTTTACATCATGTCATCTTATTAAATTAATTTTTAATAATTTTATTTAGTGATTTAGTTATAAGAAATTATGTATGTATCGAAAGTTTTGTAATTTAGTCTAATTTATTGTAATATAATTATTTTTTTTATTATTAATTATTTGTTTTTTATTTTGTACTCCTGATTTTAAGCGAAAATCCACTGTTCCATTTTATTTTTTATTAAACCTCCTTGAATATTATGTTTTACGGATAAATCGGAAAAAAATTTTCGATGTTTTAAGTTAAAAATGACCTTGAGCGCGAAAATCCAACGTTTACGATTTATTCTAAAGTAGGTCGACCTTGAATACAAGGCCATTAGTTTTACATTTCAATTTTGTGAAAATTTTCATGGTCACGATTTTTCAACCAAGGTCGACCTTGTTTACTGTTTACGCTATGTAGGACGACCTTGTATATTTTACCTGGCACACATTTTATTTTAAGCGGGAATCCATTGTTTGAATTTTATTTTTTTCTATACCTCCTTGGGTATTATGTTTTTCTGATACATTTGGCCAAAATTTTCGATGTTTTTTAGGTAAAAAAATTGAAATTTGTATACTGTGTATAAGGATGTACATTAAGGATGAAAAAAAAGTAAATAAATTTTAATTCACAATAATAAATTATATTTTTATTAAAATTAAATTTTTTTATGTCTTTTTTTTCCATAATTATTCAACATGAAATTTTATGCAATAAAATTAAAATAAATAAATAAATTGAAAAAAAAAAAGTTTACATTTTTTCATTGGGGGGGAGAGAGGATAAATTTACAATAAAACTTAAAACGATAAAATCATACAAGAACAAAGGGCGTTCAAATCAATTTTTTTTTCTGCACGATCACAATAAGTTTAATAATAATAATAATAATAATATTTTGTTTTAACTCGAAACGCGTTTTCATATAAAATAAAATAAAATTTGACTTATTATTGAATTACATTTTATACTTATTTTAGTTTTTCTTATGCTTTGACTAACATTAATAATAATAATAATGATCTTGATGACAATATCGACAGTGATAATAATAATAAAATTATCTAAAATCAATCATCGAGTCATGAAATTAAAATAAATAAATAAAAAATTTAAAAAAATAGCATTTTTTTAGATTATTATTTCTCTTAACCTAATTCATTTTTTTCTCCTTTATCCTCTCTACCCCCCGCAAACGACGACGTCATTTCCGTTCTATACGAAAAACTAAAAGAAAAGATTAAAAAACGAAAAGAAAAACTCGAATTTCCCAAGCATTGTGTGCTGCGAAAATCATTTCAACCGAAATTTTTTTTTTTTTTTTTCTATTTTCTTCTTCCTTTTGGTTTCTTCTTTTTCCTCTTTCCAATCAATCATCTTCGTCTTCGTCATCGCTATTCGTGTACTTTGGTTGAGTTTTTTTCCTTCTCGTGCTTCCTCTTCCTTCTCCTCCTCTTCCACCTTTTCCAACTTTTATTTTTATTTTCATTCTAACGGATTCCGATTCGGAATTTCCATCCTCGTCGTCCACCGTCTGAAAATTTAAAAAATCAAAATAAATAAAATTTGACAAATAATAAAATCCGAACGACGGGATTCTCTCATCATCACCTTTATCCTAATCCGTTTCCGCATCCTGTTCCAATCTTTGTCTCGCGTTCGTAAACACGGATTGAGGGACGGTTGAATCTTCGTGTATGAGAGAAGCTTCTTCGTTGTATACACATTTGAGTAAAATCCTTTTCCAAATCGTCAAAATCCGAATACTGAAACAACAACAAAAGTCAGAATGAAACTTTTCCACCCTTTTTTTCCATTTCTCCCCAATTCCTCCCCCCAGCTTACTTTTCCATCTTCTATCCTGTTAAATATTTTCTTTATATCCAAAGGTTTTTTTATCATGTCGTAATAATCCGGTAATTTATTTTTAGAAGGTAATTTCATGAAAGGTTCACTGAGAATTTCCTTCCATGGCTAAAATTAAAACCAACAAAAAAGTTAAACACGAGAGAGAGAGAGAGAGGGGGAGAGGTCATTAGGTCAATGATTGATTACCTTTCTTTCCGCTTCTAATTTTTACTGTTTCTCAAGTTTTTCAGTTGCTCTTGCTTCTCTCAAACCTTGATGTTTGGTTCGTTTGTACGCTTTTACATTGACGGCAGTTTCTAGCGTGGTATAGCGACGCGTACAAGCTATAATCTAAAAGACAAGCTATAAATTAAAAATAAATTTACAAAAAATTTGTTTAAATTTAATGAAAAATAATTGTTCTTTTTTCTCTTTAGTTTTAGGAGCAAAAAAACTGGTCCAATGCAGTTTTGACAACCTCATTGTCATTTTGGAATTTTTGTCCATTCAAAAAATTTTTTAGGGATCAGAAAAAATGATACTCACTTCGAACTAGGTCGGGACTATAAGGAGAGTGAGGCAAAACATCCCGGCCTAGCTCCAGTAGTTTTTGTCCAGTGGCTAAAGATGGGGAGGGCCTGGCATTATGGTAATGAAAGACATAAACGTAAACGTACTCAAAAAAATGGACAAACTATCTCTTAGTAAAATGCGAAGTTACTTACTGGCCAACCCAATAATTTACATAAAACAAATTATTTAACGAAAATATTCATGTATTGGCTACTTTAAAAGCTTCCATATTTTTATAAGTTCCACGTTAAAGTGAAATACATTTTTCTAATGACACTTTATTTACCATCGATATAATTAAGTTTAAATTGATGTCTATGGTTGTTTACATATATTACTATTATTTTTACTATTTCCCATTGTGAGTTATTTTTCCTGTATTAATTTCAAATAAAAATCGTAAAATTTGTTTTTAAAGAAATTACAAAATGCACGGGAGAGTCAAAATAAAAACGACAGAAGAACAAAAAGAAATCGCAAGGCAAGAGAAACAGAAAAAGGCAATAGAATTTAAAAAAATAATGAATCAAATATTCATTAAAAAATTCATTCAGAAAAACGTTCTTCGAAGAAGGTTTAAATCTCACCGGTAATTTATTACAGGAAATCCGGATATAATAACATTATGGAATTATAGAAGAGAAATATTTTTGTCGTTTAAAAACGACGAGGATTTGGAAAGTTATCAAAAACTATTGGAAAAAGATTTACAATTGACAGAACAGTGCCTGAGAGTAAATCCAAAATTCTATGGTAGTTGGCATCTTAGAATATGGATCTTGGACAATTTACCCAAACCTGATTGGAACAAAGAATTAAACCTTTGCACAAAATATCTTCAATTAGACGAAAGAAATTTTCACTGTTGGGATTATCGTAGGATAGTCGCTGAAAGATCAAATGTTTCTCATTTATCTGAATATGAATTCACTCTAACATGAATACTGTATTAAATTATGTATGTATATATACATGTGTAATTATGGGAGGCAAGACCGAAAGTGATACCTCAGGAATGCCTCCCACATGGTTGAGGGGAGTATCCCAATTTGGTGGAGCAGATCTGTGCAACAGCCTATACCGGAGGGGAATCTGCTCTCACCTTTGGAGTTCGGATCTGATGATTCCGGCTGAGAGAAGGGTTGAGGTTGAGGCTGAAATGGGAGTCATACTCCTGTGACTGCCCCTACTCCCCAGGAAAAAGTGCAGCAAAGCACATCCAGGAGTTTTAGTTGGGTAGTGACTTCGTCTGAGTCCCCCAACACTATTCCTGCTACAGGGTGGGGAGAGGTTAGTGCGAAATGCTTCATTTCTCCTGGGTTAACAAAAAAAAATTTCAAACGTTAAATAATAATAATAATAATAATAATTTTTTTTTTTTTTTATTAGAATCTATAAAATTTATAGCAATTAAAAATATTATTTTTTGTGTCAATAATAATAATAATAATAATAATAATAATAATAATTATTATTATTATTATTATTATTATTATTATTCTGGATGTCTCTAATTCCTCTGTCCAGACAGCTTAATACCAAGGATCAAGGACATGAGTTGGTACCGGGAGGCAAGAAAATCACCCATATGCTGTATATGGATGACTTAAAAATTTACGCAAAAAATGAAGAGGAGTTAAATAAAATGCTTAAGACGATACAAACTTTTTCCTCCGACATCAACATGAAATTTGGTCTGGAAAAATGTGCAAAAGTTAATATTGTCGGAGGAAAGTTAAAATGGAAGGAAAATATAGAAGACTCAGAAGAAGAACTTATTAAAGAATTGGACCCTGGATCAACATACAAATATCTGGGGATTGAAGAAAATTTTGGGGTAGCCAACAAGGAAATTAAATCTTGATTGAAGAAAGAATATTTTAAAAGATTGAGGCTTATATTACAGTCGGAACAAAGTGGAAGAAATAAGTTACCATAACACCATCGGCACATTAGCAGTTCCAGTAATAGAATACAGTTTTGGCCTTGTCGAATGGACAAAAGGAGAAATCATGCACCTGGACCAAAGAACAAGGAAAATATTAACTATGAATGGTGCATTACATCCAAAAGCTGATGTGGATAGATTGTACGTCAGCAGGAAAGATGGAGGAAGAGGATTACGACAAATAGAAGCGCATACCAGAATGCCATAATTGGAAAAGGGAAAATACATAGAATCCCATCAAGAGGACCCTATCTTAGCCCAAGTTATACATATATTACAATAAAAATTTCAAAAAAAGGAGTACTGAAAAGGGCAAAACAAATCGTCCAAGAAAATAAAGAAAACGAGATAATGGAAGAAGGGCAACTTTCAACTTATGAAAGCAAAGCCCAATTTCAGAAGAAATTATGTCAATATCTCCATTGGAGTATATGCCGAGAATATGGAATGGATGGATTACCCATGGAGTGGTACAACCACATTCCAAGCCTGATTACGACAGTAGGTCCATGCAGAGTTCTGTATGATCAACAAATCCACACTGACAGAACTGTGCCAGCTAACAAACCGGATATCATTCTCAGACATAATGTGGAAAAATGGTGTAAGTTAATTGAAGTATTCGAAGAACCAAAGAGGAGAAAAACACCACAGCCAAAGAAGCAGACAAAAGGCTGAAATATAGAAATTTGGAAGATGTAACGTTCACAGGACATTAGGGAATCAGAAAAACTTCTCCCGTTGTGTCTTGCTTCCTTTTATATGTGGAACTCATTGTTATTATTATGTTTTTATGAAACGAATAACTATGGTTGTAAACAAATAGAAGAATAAGTTTCTAGAAGCTTCTTTTTCATAATAAACACTTGGTAACCATAGTTCTAATGTTATTATTTATAAATAAAATAAAATTATGAACATTTGCTCACGTGATCACAACAATATATATTCTTAGTCTTATTAAATATTTACAAAAAATAATTTTGCTTTAAAGTATAGTTATTTTATAATTTAAATTTTATTCCTTTTAATACATAAGTTAAACATGAAAAATATGGTATTTTTTTTTCTGACCAATCACAACCATTTCTCATTATGTTTACAAAGCACGCCATTGGTTAAAAATTGTACTGAAAATTGCATATACTCTAAATGCAAGGCGTTGAAGCGAAACGAAACTATCGAAAAATTGAGACCTCCTGAATATTATGTTTCACTGATACTCGGAACCAATTTTTCACTCATTTTTCGTGATTTTTTTTCGTTCGCCTTACTTTTGTGAGTTATGCAATTTGTCGTGTTCACGCGTATTGCCAGTTGCATAACCAAAGTTTTTAAGGATTTTTGAATTTTTTCGATTTTTTCCGTCCGCCTTACTTTTTTGAGTTATGCAATTTGTCGAGTTTCGCGTATTGCCAGTTGCATAACCTAGTTTGTATAAAAATTTCTTTTAAGTTTTTCTTTAATGGGAATAAATGAATGATATAACCAAACATGCATGATGGAAAAAAAAAAAAAAAACAAATTTTATTTTCTTTTTAAATAATATATTTGAGAGAATAAATACATATATTACAATATTATTATTATTATTATTATTATTATTATTATTATTATGTCCACTATTAAACACGACAAGGCTCTTTTTTGTCGGGGTTTTTAAGTATTTATCCCAGGTTTCTACCCGATTCCTTAGGGACAAATACTCGAATTTCGGTGGTGCTACTTATAATATTTTCCGAAGAATGTGGGCCGTCCCACATAGTGCGATTTCCTGGATGGTTTCTTCTTTTAGGTTCTTCATAATCTTCTTTAAATTTCCTTTCATTGAATGGCATGGCTCCCAATGCTCCCACGATGACCGGAATCGTTTCTGTTTTTGTTCCCCACATCCTGGTTATTTCGATTTCCAAATTTCTATATTTTTATTATTATTATTATTATTATTATTATTATCATTGTAAATTTGAAAAAAAAAACGGAAAACTTAATAATAGTTTGTGGCAAATTTAGTAGTTTATGTGTCACGATTAAGAAAAATATACATACATATATTTTATAAATATATGTATATAATATAAACGTGGCCAAATATAAATCAAACGTTCAATCATCACTCAAAATTTAATTACAGGTTTAAAACGAGGTCCCTTCTATGACGACAAACAACCGAACCTGATTTTTTCTGATTATTCCTCTTTCTCGCCTTTCCCTCCCTCCCTTCCTCCCTCCTTCCTCTTCTTGCCTTCTCGCTTTTTCGTACTTTTTTCCAAAACGAAATCGTAGCCATTATTTAAATTATTTAAAAATATAACAGAAACGTTTTTGTCACCTCTCCTCTCCTCTCCAAAAGGTAGACATCATCTTGTTTCGCTGTCTGATACTGTCACTCCTGAATGTACCGGCTCGTCTTTACCGGTCCTTTCTTAAATGAAAGAAAAAACATGTAATAACAATTAGTAAGGACAAATGTAAAAACTTTATAAAAAAAAAATTTTCTGTTGTTTCATCCGCGTTCTACCTACTTACCATCGAGTAAAAGACGTCATTTCCGTTCTATACGAAAAACCAAAAG